TCAGGGCAGTGGGGGCGGGGGGAGGGGGGGGCGGGTCAGAGTGTCAAACCTGCTGAATGCAGCACATTAGGCTACTTGGGCTTCAGGTGCCTGCTGAACGTGTGCTTCTGGATGCTTAGGTACGGATCAAGTATGGCTTAGGAAACTGTCTGAATGACATGGCAGCCTGCTAGATCTGCTGGGGGCCCTGGAGATGCTGGGGCAGCTCTCATGCTGGCTTTTTGGGTTCCAATGGTAAGTCTTCAGATCACTAGGGGAGAGGACTTTGAAAGAGACTCCTTGGTTTCCGAAGCCAGTGAGTGTGCTCCCGCACTCTCCAGCTGTCTAACTAAAGCCAGTACCCGTATCTGCTCCACACCCAGGACACCCCTTGATCGCCTGACCCCGGTGGCCGACGGGACTGGCATTCCTGAGCGCCACAGGAAGGTAACAGTTGGAAAGACAGTTCTTGGCAGTCCACCACGCCAGGGCAGTGTACAGACAGCAGACTGAAATGCAACCCGAGTCTTCATGGGAAAAAGGGCTGTTTACTTAGCCTGGAGCTTTAGCCTAAGGGACAGGCTCCAGGTTTCCCACACATCTAGAGACTAAGGAGGTGCTCCCAGGGAATATAAGCAGGAGGTGACACCCTTGCATGCCCCCTTGGCCTTGCTACAGCTCCATGAGACCTCCCAGAAAGGAGCTTGGAGCCCCAGTTTTTACAACAGTTGCCCAGGGGACACCTCTAGATCTCCTGGTCTGGAGGCCAGCAGGGATTACAATTACCACAGCACAGGACTGCATATATTTGCATACTTTATTTTATTTTCTTTTAACATTTTGATTTATTTTTGAGAGATAGAGACAGAGCATGAGCAGGGGAGGGACAGAGAGAGAGGGAGACACAGAATCTGAAGCAGACTCCAAGCTCTGAGCGTTCAGCACAGAGCCTGATGTGGGGCTCGAACCCACCAACCATGAGATCATGACCTGAGCCAAAGTCAGACACTTAACCAACTGAGCCACCCAGGTGCCCCAATATTTGCTGACTTTAAAAGCTGCCACCAAAGGATCTGGCTTCCAGTCAGCCTGAAAATAGGTACTGAATGATATTCCTCCCCTTGGAACAGGTCTTGGCATTTTGTCAGCAACAGGGGAATATTAAGAATAAATCAGGTGGTTTAGACAATCAGAAAGGTTGAAGAGACAACCAAGAACTAGGGCAAGGTTCAGTGAGAAGTTTCATCACACATAAGACCACTCCTTCAAGACTGAGAAAGGTCGCTGCTTTGCCTAATACACAGAAGCAAAGACAGAGCCAAGCAAAATGAAGACACAGAGAAATATGTTCCAAATGGAAGAATAAGACAAAACCTCAGAAAAAGACCTTAATGATATGGAGATAAGTCATCTACCTGATAAAGAATTCAATGTATTGGTCATAGAGGAGCCTGGGCGGCTCAGTTGGTTAAGCATCCTGTCTCACTCTTGATTTCGGCTCAGATCATGATTTCACCATTCATGAGAAAGAGCCCCATGTCGGGCTCTGCACTGAGTGTGGAGCTTGCTTGGGATTCTCTCTCTCCCTCTCTCTCTGTGCCCCTCCCTTGCTTGCATGCACACTCTCTCACTCTCTCTCTCAAAAATAAGTAAATAAACTTTAAAAAAAGAAGAAGAAAACTGGAAAAACTACAGATACGTGGCAGTTAAAAACATGTTACTAACAACTATTGGGTCATAGAAGAAATCAAAGGAGAAATTAAAACACCTAGAAACAAATGAAAACAGAAATAGGACATACCAAAATCTGTGGGATGCAGAAAAAGTGGTTCTAAGAGGGAAGTTCAAGTGATAAATGCCTGTTATCAAGAAACAAGAAAAATCTCAAATAAACAACCTAACTTTATACCTCGAGGAACCAGAAAAAGAAGAACAAACAAAACCAAAATTAGGAGGAGAAAGGAAATAATAAAGATCAGAGTGGAAAAAAATTAAGTAGAGACTAAAAAGACAATGGAAAATATCAATGAAACTAAAAGCTGGTTCTTTCAAAAGATAAAGAGATAAATCTTTAGCTAGACTCACGAAGAAAAAGAGAGGGTTCAAATAAATAAAATCAGAAATGAAAGAGAAGAAGTTACAACTGATACCACAGAAGTACAAAGGATTGTAAGAGACTACTCTGCCAACAAACTGGACAACTAAAAAAGAATGGATAAGTTCTTAAAAACTTGCAATCTTCCAAAACTGAATCATGAAGAAGTGGAAAATCTGAATAGACCAATTACTAGTAAAGAGATTGAATCAGCAATTAAAAACCTCCCAAGAAACAAAAGTCCAAGACCAGACGGCTTCACTGGTAAGTTTTACCAAACATTCAAAGATTTAATACCTAGCCTTTCAAACTCTTCTAAAAAATTGAAGAGGAGGGAATGCTTCCAAACTCATTTTACAAGGCCAGCATTACCCTGATACCAAAACCAGATAAGGACACCACGAAAAAGAAAGAAAGAATGAGTGAAGGAAAATTACAGGCCAATATCCCTGATGAACATAGATGTAAAAATCCTCAACAAAATATCAGCAAACTGAGTTCAACAATACATTGAAAGGATCATATACCATAATCAAGTGGGATTTATTCCAGGGATGCAAGTGTGGTTCAACATCCACAAATTAGTCAATGTGATACCGCAGTATTAACAAAATGAAATATAACAATTATGATCATCTCAATAGATGCAGAAAAGCATTTGACAAAATTCAATATCCATTTATGGTAGAAAATAATAATAATGATACAGAGGGCACATATCTTAACATAATGAAAGCCACATATGATAAATAGCTAATACTCAGTGGAAAAAAGCTGAACACTTTAAGATCAGAAACAAGACAAAGATACCCACTCTCATCACTTTTATGCAACATAGTCTTGGAAGTGCTAGCTACAGCAATTATGCAAAAAAAAAAAAAGAAATAAAAGGCATATGGATTGGAAAGGAAGAAGTAAAACTGTCACTATTTGCAGATGACATGACACTATATATAGAAAATCCTAAAGACTCCACCAAAAAAAAAAAAAAAAAAAAAAAAAACTCTTTTAGAACAAATAAATGTGAATTTGGTAAAGTTGCAGGATACAAAATACAAAAACATGTTGCATTTCTATATGCTAATAACAAACTACCAGAAAGAAATATCAAGAAAATCCCACTTACACTTGCATAAAAAAGAATAAAATACATGGGAATAATTTATATTTCCTTGGGAATAAATTTAACCAAGGAAATAAAAGACCTATACACTGTAAGACTAAAAACTGTAAGATAGTGATGAAAGAAATTAAAGAAGACAGAAATAAATGGAAAGATATTCCATGCTCTTGGATTAGAAGAATTAATATTGTTAAAATATCCTTCTGCCCAAAGCAGTCTACAGATTCAATGGAAATTGAAATCTGTCAATTTCCTATCAAAATTCCTACCAAAATTCCAATTCCTATCAAAATTCCAATGGTATTTTTCACAGAACTTGAACATATATTTTAAAATTTATAGGGAACCACCAAAGACCCCAAATAGCAAAGCAATCTTGAGAAAGAAGAACAAAGCCAGAGATACTATGTGCTTTGATTTCAAACTATACTACAAAACTATAGTAATCAAAACAGAATGGCATTGGCACAAAAAGAGACACAGAGATCAGTGGAACAGAATGGAAAGCCCAGAAATAAACCCATGTATGTGTATTTTTTGACAAAGGAGGCAAGAATATACAATGAGGACTGGATAATCTCTTCAATAAAAGGTGTTGGGAGAACTGGACAGCTACCTGCAGTAGAATGAAACTGGACCACTTTCTTACTCCATACACAAAAATTAACTCAAAGTGGATTAGAGACTTGAATATAAGACCTGAAACTATATGGGGCGCCTGGGTGGCTCAGTCAGTTGAGCGTACGACTTCGGCTCAGGTCATGATCTCGCGGTTTGTGGGTTCGAGTCCCGCGTCGGGCTCTGTGCTGACAGCTCGGAGCCTGCAGCCTGATTCAGATTCTGTGTCTCCCTCTCTCTCTGCCCCTCCCCAACTCACACTCTGTCTCTCTGTCTCTCTCCTTCAAAAATAAATAGACATTAAAAAAAAATAAAAAATAAAAAGAGCCGAAATTATAAACTTCTAGAAGAAAACACAGGTGGTAAACTCCTTGACATCAGTTTTAGTGATATTTTTGTGACTGACTCTAAAGGCAAGAGAAACAAAAGCAAATACAAACAAGTGGGACTACATCAAACTAAAAAGCTTCTGCACAACAAAGGAAAACATCAACAAAATGTTAACAGAACTTACTGAATGGGAGAAGATATTTGCAAATGATACATCCAATAAGGAGTTAATATCCAAAAAATAATAATAAAGAACTCATACAACTCAATAATAACAACAAATCTGATTAAGGGGCACTTGGGTGGCTCAGTCAGTTAAGCATCTGACTCTTGACCTCAGCTCAGGTCTTGATCTCAGGGTCATGGGTGTGGGCCCCACACTGGCTCTATGCTGACTTTTAAAAATCTGAAAACTCTGATTAAAAAAATGGGCAGAGGATCTAGACATTTTTCCAAAAGAGACATACAGGTGGGCAACAGATACCTGAAAATGTATTCAACATCACTATCATCAGGGGATTGCAAATCAAAACTACAATGAGATACCACTTTACACCTGTCAGAATGGCTATTATCTAAAAGACAAGAAGTTATTGTTGGCGAGGATGTGGAAAAAAGAGAACTCTCATACCCTGTTTGTGGGAATGTAAATTGGTGAGCCACTAAGGAAACGTATGGAGGTTCCTCATAAAATTAAAAATAGAACTACCACGTGATTTAGCAATTCCACTGCTGAGTATCTATGCAGAGAAAATGAAAACATGGGCACCTGGCTGGCTCAAATGGTAGAGCGTGCAACTCTTGGTCTTGGAGTTGAGAGTTTGAGACCCACGATGACCCTACTCTTAAAAAATAGGGCTGCCTAGGTGGCTCAGTCGGTTGAGTGTCCGACTTCCACTTGGGTCACGGTCTCATGTTTTGTGAGTTCAAGCCCTGCATAGGGCTCTCTGCTGTCAGCCCACTTTGGATCCTCTGTCCTCTTCTCTTTCTGCCCCTCCCCGCTTGTACTCTTTCTCTCTCTCTCTCAAAAATTAATAAACATTTAAAAATAAATTAACAAAGAAAACATTGGGGCACCTGGGTGGTTCAGTTGGTTAAGCATTCAACCCTTGATTTCGCCTCAGATCATGATCTCATAATTCGTGGGATTGAGCCCCATGTCGGGCTCCACACTGACAGCATGGAACCTGCTTGCGATTCTGTCTCTCCTCTCTCTCTGCCCATCCTCCCTGCGCACGCATGCATGGTATCTCTCCCAAAATAAACAAGCATTAAAAAAAAAAAGTACAGACTCCCAATTATAAGATAAATAAGTCATGGGGATTCCTGTATAGCATGTAGAATATAATCAGTAAGATATTAACTCTGTAGGGTGACAGATGGTAACTAGACTTACTGTGGTGATCATTTCACCATGTATACAAATGTCATTATGTTGTACACCTGAGACTAGTGTAATATTCTATGTCAGTTATATCTCAATAGAAGGGAAAAAAAAGAAAGGAAGAGGCCCCTTGGAAGTTGAGTGTTTAATTATGGAGAATGTTTATTAGTCAGCACTGGAATAGCTAACGGCTCCCCACGGTTAGGTCTGAAGGTGAAACATTTGCAGAGTCAGGGTCCTTCCGGGTATTTGCTGCTTAGAGAAAACTATTAGCCCCCTCCAGGTGAGTCAACAGATAGGGAAACTGAGGACCAAGAGAAGCAGCAAAAGCATCTTGTCAACTGAAATTTGTATCCGTCCACCAGTGTCTGACTCAGCTGGCCCTCTTGACATACCCAACAGGCCAAGGGCTGAAAAAGCAGCCTGTTTATGGGAAATGTGGAGACAAGATGAGTGTCTGTAAGAAAATAACCTTGAAAGTCCCCAGCCTTATAGAAATTTGGTTCCATATTCAGAGTAGTGCCTCATATTTGGTAATCCTTTGCTGTTTCTTCTGCTGAGATTTCTCCTCCTCCCCCTCTCCAATTTCTAGAGGCACCTTTGGTTCTAGGGCCCACTCCCATGTCGAGATTCCCTTTTCAACAGCAGGCCCCCAAAATATCTTGACTTGAAACCACAAACACATCTTTATCAAAGGTCATGTTAAGTCTGGGGAAGAAAATTCCTCCCTGGTGGAGAAGTACAGCGAAATGAAAATAGAAAGTGACCTTCTCAGCTGCGAGTGGCATGTATATGTGGGTGCTGACAGGCAAGAGTGGGCCTTCCCTCAGGAGGGGGAGGGGACATACCTCCTCTGAGTCTGGCCAGACTCTGGTCTGGATTGGAGCCTGTCGACATCCCCTGTAATGTTGACTTTGGGCTTTGTCATTCAATCTAGGTGGAAGACTACCTGTTTGAAAAAGCAGAAATCAACTTTTGGGCTGAGACCCTGACCTTCGTGAAGTACCTCTACAAGCACCTCTCCCATCTCCTCTCCAAGTCCAGCTGGTGTCCCCTCCGCCCTGAAAGCCTCCGTCATCTTCACAGGACAGCATCAGAGCAGTGCCACCTCCTTTCCCAGCTCTTCAGAGAACTGCCACCAACTGCTGAGTTTTTGAAGACAGTGGAATTCACAAGACTGCGCATTCAGGAAGAAAGGACTTTGGCTTGCCTGAGGCTGCTGGCCTTTCTGGAAGGAAAGGAAAGGGAAGACACCCTTGTTCTCAGTGCTTCGGACTCTGTTGCAGAAACGAATCCGTTCACTCTTGCAAGAACAGAAACAGCTTGTTGAAGAAAGAAGACTTTTGGGGGTGGGGGGAGTGTGGATTATTCCCCCACTAAATCTGCAGGAAACGTGTTGAACATAAATTCAAATATTTTCTCCCCTTCATGAGTCTAGTCTTCTGTCCCTTCCTACAAAGGAATTTTTCTTCAGCTCATTCAGGGGAGCCTGGTTTATTGCAGCTACTGTAGGAAGTGCGGCTACCACGTTGAATATTTACTCTGTTCCCAGGTGCAGGCCACCTGCGGACCTGAATTCGCCTTTTTCTTCCCCCACAGCCTCTAACGTCCAGGCATAGTCAGCCCACATTTTCTGTGAACTGACTGTACAGAACTAGGTTTTAGCTCGTGACTTTCTCTCCTCTTTCCCACTGAATAGAAGAGCTGGATTAGTTGGCAAACAGCCCACTGGGTCAGAACTCTAAATTTTATTCCATTTTAGCTACAGCAGAAGTATGTTCCAAATGTTGGATCCTGGGAAAATTATAGATCTACTTCATAGAGGTGGTTTTGTTTTTACCATCTACATGTTCAAGTCCTGCAGCGACCTGCACATGACGTCTGATTTATTAAAAGAGCTCCTACCCACCAAAAGTGTTTCTGGCAATGCTAGGAAACTTCGATTTTGCCACCCAGTGAAAGCATAGACCCTTGGCTGTGAGAAGGAAATCCAGGGAAAGAAAAGCCAGAATAAATGACTTGTTTTATTCCTACGCTGTTTACTGTCATTTTCTTGGTGGCAATAAAAGATTCTCATTTAAGATGTCAGAAAACACAGTTATCCATTTCAGTGTTTGAATCTAGCAACCTTAAGGTTTTTCTGCCTTTTCCAAGCCCAACCCAGCCCTCTGCCTCAGACACCCAGCAGGTGTCGCTCTTGCATACATTTTTGCTTCATTGGCTTGCCATTTTTTCCTTCTCATTTCAGAATGAGTGTTATCCACAGACAGCTGTCTTGAAATTCATAGCTTGGATTGGTCAGAGCCTCATCCATATTCATTTTTCATCCTGGTTATCAGAATGATACCAGCTTTTAGGGACTGTAAATATTTTTAAATACTTCTCAGGTGAGCAATCACTTGGAACTATGTTATTGATGTTTGACGGTCTGAAGGGGCAGTTTAAAAGAGAGAAAGTTTGATATCATTTCCTACTGCAGAAAAGCTTGTATTTCAAATGTGTTTCTCTTTAAAAAAAACCACCTAACACTAAAAACATGGCCATACTGGAAGTACAGAAAAATAGCTCTGTAGGAAAAGGCAAGGAAAGGAGTAAACTTAGAATCCAAAGTTTTGTCCTAAAGAGAACAGGAAATTCCCTAGGTAGTTTTGGACTATTCGGCTCAAAATGTGTTTTTTTGTGATCCTGAATTAATTAGGATCCTGTGTAGCCCACACTTGATGGAAAGTTGCCAGTCTAACATTTCTTTTTGTTCTGAGAAGGACTGACTGGGTCAGAAGTCAGGAAATTGTTGGCATAATGCAGTGATGACCATGGTTCAATAACTATGAAACTGGCCCCAGTAAAGCCCAACTCATTGGAAACGGCCAGCGTTCCTTTTCTCTCCATTTAAAATGAAATAAAAGCAGATACATAATAATAAAAGCACCTTATACCAGCAGGTGCTCTTTACCAAAACATGTATCATAGCATATGTATATGTTATCTCTAGGATCCTTCTACCCAGCCTGCAAAGTGGGTGTTCTCATGGCTGCAGACTGGGAATTACCCCAGATTTTGATGATGGCTGGCTGTGGCCAGCCTGGGAGGACAGGAGGGACAGAAGTTTCTACTGGTTTTATATCTGAAATCTTAATACTGACCTACAATAGCAGTGAAATGGCTGTTTCACACTTGCCTGATGCATTCCCAGGGGAATCTTAGAATACTACTATCAGGGCAAACCTCAGACTCCATGTTTGGGGTCATTTCAACAAAGAACAAAACAGAACAGTTGGGGTTCTTGAGTGCTCTGGGCTGCGTCAGCCACAGCTGCCTGGGGGCCAGTGCAGGCTGGGTGGTGCAATCACCCAGATTGAAGCAATCCCCTCTTCCGGGGTCATTGCTCTTGGCTCCAAGCTAGACGGTCCAAGATTTGGTGCCCCTCAGGTCTGCATGCATGATCCTGTGGACCTCTACCCATCTGGCCACAGTCCAGAGACCCGGCTGTCTCCATTTTTATGCTTTGTCAATTTATTTTAATAAATGATATGGATTTATACCTGTACATCTTTTACACACCTTAACAGATAACGCATTTGCACCTTGACAAGGGTGAGAGATGAGTAAAGCAGGAATTATCTTAGTTTTACAAGGAAACCCAAGTACCAGAGATTATGTGATTTGCTAGAGACCACATGACTTGGAAAGGGCAGCGCCTGAACGCCCGCCCTGGGTTTCTGGTCCTAAAGTGCTTGCAGCCCACTGCAGACTCTAGCTCTCTGAGTGGGTGCTTAGGGAGTGACAGCAGGGGGAACTGCATGCAAACTGAACTCTGAGGCGTCAGTTCCATGAGTGGCAGGCCTGATGGCTTATTCCCCCACTTCCAGGTTAACGAATGGAAATGACCAAGAGGAAACAAGAAATAACCTCAATTTGGGAAAGGGGGCGTGGGTTGCTTCCTTCCCTAGAGGGAACTGGGCCTTCCAACTTAGGCCCAAATGCAGCCTAAGCTACCAGGTGTGCGAGATCATGGGCCCGCTCCAGGTTTTGGCAGCATATGTTTAGACGAGTGATAAGTGTCCTGGCCCAGACCCCACATCTGCCCGACCGGGCTGTCAGCGGCTTTTGCCTAACTGGGCGCTAGGGGGGGCTGTCTGCCCCGTACCCTTGAGGGGGCCCCTTGGCAAAGGCATTACCCAGAGCAGGGTTTTGGGGTGTGGGACTGGTGAGAGGGGGGAAAAAAGAGGGCAAGCCCACCTTGAGCGTCCTCGACGCCCTGTACTGCCTGGGCAGTTGACCGGCCTCAGCCCGAGCCTGCGGCTCACGACGAGCTAAGGCAGGGCGCGGCGCCCCCAACGGCCAGGGAGGAAAGGGACGTGGAGGGCACGCCCGGCCACGGCCGCGGCGGCCGGGGAGCCTCAGCCGGCAGCTGCACCCCATCCCCTGGGAGGGCTGGGGAAGGCCGAGCTGACCGGCGGACGGACGGGGTGGCGGGAAGTCGCCTCCAGGCCTGCGCAGCTCTCCTGGCCTTTCCTCCCGTCCTCCCAGCCGGCTCCCCCGCCCGGGACGCCCCGCGCCACTCCGCGCCTTTGGCCCTAGCTCAAGGTCTTGTGATGTGATTAGCAAAGCCAGCGCCTTGTCCTCAGACACTCAGCCCTGCCCTGCAGGCCCCGGCGCTCAAGCCCTGTTTACTGCAGCCTGGGCGGGGACGGGGGCGGAGAAACGGGCCCAGGCTCCTCCGGGCGAGACTGCCGCGGCAGCCGCCCGCGTGGCCGCTCCCGCCCCCACCCCCACCGCGCCTCCACGTGCAATCGGGATGGGGCCACCACCCACCGGACGCAGGCCCAGAGCCCCCGCCTCCCGGCCCAAGCACCCTTTGCAAGCCAGCCGGGCCGCGCGGACGGTTGCAATATTCTTGCATTTTGCAATTCCCGCGCCCAGTATAAAACCGAGAGTGGGAGATAAAAGCTTCGCAATTTCGCCTAGCAGGATCCGGCGCGAGAAGACACGTCCAGGGCTGCAGAACTCTGGTCACTTTAAACGTGCAGTGGATTTCCAACAGGGCAGCCCCAGAGAAGAGGAGCCTTATCTTCCCGCCGCCACCCAGCAGCACCCAACAGGGCCGAGCTCTCCACGCCGCCCCGGGCGCCCCGGCAGCCTGCCCCGCCCCACGGCCTCCCGCCCCCTCCCCCGAAGAAAAAAAATTGGCGGCGGCCAATGGGAGGCCACGAAGGCGCTTGACGTCCGCGAGCCGGCGGGCGGCGTTGCTTGGAGACCCCGGCGGGGTCAGCGTTCAGTCCCCTCCTCCGGCACGCCCGCCTAGCCGCTGCCGCGCTCCCGGGCTCTATATAGGGCGCGCGCTCGCGGGCCGCGGAGTTCCAGCAGTCCGCGAGCTGTCGTCGGCTCCGCGCGGGGGGGGCGGGCCGGGCACCCCGGGGCGCGGAGGAGCGCTGTTTGCTTCTCCTTTCCCCCCACTCCGCACTCCCGGGCACCCTCAAGCCAGTCCACGCTGCTCCCCTCTTCCTCTTGTCTCGTACCCCGGCAAACTTTCGGTTCCTCCCCCGCCCCTCACCCGTTATTCGTCGTGGCTCGAGCCCGGCCGCGCCGCCCCGAGGGCTCCTCCGGACCTCCCTGCCTGCAGCGCCGACCATTACAGGATCCAGAAACATGTCGACCACACTTCTGTCCGCCTTCTACGATATCGACTTCTTGTGCAAGGTACGCGAGGGAGCAAGGAGGGAGTAAAGCGGGCAGGCAGGAAGCCCCTCGAGTTTTCAGACTTTGCCTCTGCCCTCGGCTTTTGGGGCACCCATCCCCACCTTGACTTCGGGGTCGGGAAAAATCCTGGAGTTTGCTGTAGTGTGTGCTCGTGCCTTGTGGGCGGGGAGAAGGAGCTGGGAGGAAGGGCAGGGGGGAGCCGCTGTCGCTGTTTAGTTCCTCCGGCGCCGACCGCGGCCACGCTGCCCGGGGCTTCCCGGACGGGGTTTGCGCCGCCCAGACTGGCGGCCCACGGGCTGAGGATCACATGTCGAAACCGAGCGCGGCCTGGGGTGGGAGTCGGCTCCTCCCAACGCGAACATGATTCTTTTGCGCGTGTAGGGGCGGAGGGTGGGGGCCGAATCGAAATCTGCAAAAAGGAAGAAGAATCAGAAGGCTTGGAAGTTCCTCTGCAACTCGCCCCAACTCTTCCCTCCCTTTCCATATTTCATCCCGTCCTCGCCCCCCTCCTTTTGGCAGACGGAGAAATCCCTGGCCAACCTCAATCTGAACATGCTGGACAAGAAGGCGGTGGGGACGCCCGTGGCCGCCGCCCCTAGCTCGGGCTTCACACCGGGCTTTCTCCGACGGCACTCGGCCAGTAACCTGCACGCACTCGCCCACACCGCGCCTAGCCCCGGCAGCTGTTCGCCCAAGTTCCCGGGCGCGCCTAACGGCAGCAGCTGCGGCAGCGGGGCGGCGGGCGGCCCGGCCTCCTACGGCACTCTCAAGGAGCAGTCAGGGGGCGGCGGCACGGCCCTGCTGAACAAGGAGAACAAATTCCGGGACCGCTCATTCAGCGAGAACGGAGAGCGGAGCCAGCACCTCTTGCACCTGCAGCAGCAGCAGCAGCAGCAGCAGCAGCAGAAGGGGGGCGGCGGCTCCCAGATCAACTCCACGCGCTACAAAACTGAGCTGTGCCGGCCCTTCGAGGAGAGCGGCACGTGCAAGTACGGCGAGAAGTGCCAGTTCGCTCACGGCTTCCACGAGCTGCGCAGCCTGACCCGGCACCCGAAGTACAAGACGGAGCTGTGCCGTACCTTCCACACCATCGGCTTCTGCCCCTACGGCCCGCGCTGCCACTTCATCCACAACGCCGACGAGCGGCGGCCCGCGCCGTCGGGGGGCGCCTCCGGGGACCTGCGCGCCTTCAGCGCGCGTGACGCGCTGCACCTGGGCTTCCCCCGGGAGCCGCGGCCCAAGCTGCATCACAGCCTCAGTTTCTCGGGCTTCCCGTCTGGCCACCACCAGCCCCCCGGGGGCCTCGAGTCGCCACTGCTGCTCGACAGCCCCACGTCGCGCACGCCGCCGCCACCGCCCTCTTGTTCCTCGGCCTCCTCCTGCTCCTCGTCCGCTTCGTCCTGCTCCTCGGCCTCAGCGGCCTCCACGCCATCAGGCGCCCCGACGTGCTGTGCCTCGGCGGCAGCTGCGGCCGCGGCAGCGCTTCTGTACGGCACCGGGGGCGCCGAGGACCTGCTGGCGCCGGGCGCCCAGTGCGCGGCCTGCTCGTCGGCCTCGTGCGCCAACAACGCCTTTGCATTCGGCCCAGAGCTGAGCAGCCTCATCGCGCCCCTCGCCATCCAGACGCACAAGTTTGCCGCGGTAGCCGCGGCGTACTATCGCAGCCAGCAGCAGCAGCAACAGCAGGGCCTGGTGCCCCCCGCGCAGCCTCCGGCGCCGCCCAGCGCGCCCCTCCCTGCCAGTTCTGCCGCGCCGCCCTCACCGCCCTTCAGCTTCCAGCTGCCGCGCCGCCTGTCCGAGTCTCCCGTGTTCGACGCGCCCCCTAGCCCCCCGGACTCGCTGTCTGACCGCGACAGCTACTTGAGCGGCTCCCTGAGCTCCGGCAGCCTCAGCGGCTCCGAATCCCCCAGCCTCGACCCCGGCCGCCGCCTGCCTATCTTCAGCCGCCTGTCCATCTCCGACGACTGAGGCAAGAGGGCGCCAGCGAGGAGGAGGAAGGGAAGGCTGTTCTGGGGATGTTGGAGGGCGCCCCTGCCGTCTCGACCCCCGTTAAGGGCGGGGTGGGGGAGGCACGGGAGTGGGGTTGGTGATAGGCCCTGAGCAGACTGCGGGCCGCACCGAGCACTTGGACTCGAACTTGTGTGCCGGGAGGGGCCTCCCTCCCAGCACTGGGACTTATCTTTTTTTTTTTTTTTTTTTTTTTTTTTTAATTTTTATTATTACGAAGTTTCGTTCTTGTTGAGCAAAAAAGCCAACGAACTTTTGTATTGATGAACAAAATATTCACAACAGGGCAGTTGTGATGCAGACAGGAAGACAGCACTTAAGCTTTTTTAGGGTCTCCTGGGACTGGAAAAAAAAAAAATCATCCCAGCACCCTTTGGCTTCACCAACCACCATTCCATATCGCTACTTGAAAGCATTAATTACAGTCCAGATGTGGGAACTCTTATCTTGAGAGAAGTTCCTAATTGTCGTTTGTCTCAGACCAGTGTAAACAAACCAGCCAGCCACCACCTTGCTAAAGCTTATAGCTTCAGGAATCTACCAAGAATATACCCTTGGTGTAGTCTTCAAGTGTGACCGTTTTTTGTTTTGACACAACGTTCTATACGTCTGGAAAAAAAAAAACCCTTGCATTCCAAAAGTTTCATGCCAGTTACTGGTTTTGTTGCCACCACTTGACGGATGTTTAATTTTTAGTGTTTTGTCTGCTCTTTCTGAAGCCTTGGGCAGAGCAGTTTGTAATCGTTTGGAGAATAACTTGCTGAATTTTTAGCTGTTTTGGGAGTTGCTACTGCACCACAACTCAATAAACCTATTTAACATTTTATTATCTTGTGAAACGCCATTGAATTTTTCAGGTTTCCTTGTATTTTATCAGTATGAAAAGAAGCAATAGATATATATTCTTTATTATGTTAAATTATAGTTACCGTGTGTCAGCAAATGTTAAGGTGTATGTTCTTTCACAGTAATATATGCCTTTTGTAACTTCTTAAGTTATTTATTGTAAATGGTAAAAAAAAAATCTTATTTAAGAAATTGTCATAATATTTATTTCATTAATTTCTGTTTTGCAATAAAATTTTGAAAGGGCCATAGTTCTTCCACAGAAATCTATCCTGATACTTTCATGGAAGTAGTTTGAGGAATATCTTATGGTTTTCTTAGATAATATAATGGTTGTAGCCCATCCAACTTTAAAGAAAAAAAAAAAGGTGACCACTTTGCAATCAGGTTTTAAATGCCTTTTCTCATTCCAACTTTTGACATGAGCAAAAAAAACCAAAAAAACCCACGTTTGTTTGATGGTTCCACAAATTCTACTGTGACATATAATATAAAGACATGCTGCTAAATAATAGGGTGGGGTAGTCTCAGTGCCTTTGGAAGGGCCAGAACTTACCTTAAATCTTCCTCAACCAAATAAATCTTTCTATTAGTGCTTGGAAATTTGAATGTCGTCGTTTCAACTGCACAAAAGGAAAAGATATTTACCACTTTTATGTAGATATAAGTGAAGAGGCCACCTCATCAGATTAACTAAAATGGTATGTAGTACATGAATAATGCCATGTTTCATTCACCAGAAGATTCAAGAGCTTGACCGCTATTTTTTTTTTTGTGTGCGTGCGTAGAGGCAGGAATGCTTTTTTCCTGGACAACGGATAAGGCCAGTAGCTTGGTTGTTTGTATACGTAGGTGGTTGGAGCCTCTATGTATCAGCCTTTGGACTCTTTGTGAAAGTGGGTTTTAGATGTAACAAGGTCAGATCAACCCAAGGTTGTCAATATGTTTTAAATCGGTTACTTCTAGTTATTGGCTGTGATGACACTATGAAATCTTTTGTAGTTTCCCAATAAAATTTTTGGGAAAAAAGGTGCTCATGTGTGAAAGCCAGCTTTTTTTTTTTTTTTTTTTTTTTTTTTTTAAAGCCAGAACAGCTGGACCTCTTACCTTAATTACCACCACTTTTCCGGGCGTCTTGAGTACAGAGGGGTTGGGGCTAAGGTTTTCCACAGAAGACGAAAATTCAGAAAAAGCCACTGCCCCTATGTATGTTATAACAAGCTCTTTGTGACTGAAAATTATTTGGACTGTATCAAGGAGCATTAGTTAAGCTGTTCCCTTAGTATCAGATGCATCCCAGTGTTGGCTGACTGGCTGGTGGCAGGCCCTGAGCCTGAGAGTGTGGCCCGCCTTGAGTCTAAACCCGAGATGATGTCTGCTGTGTGGCAGCTGAGGTCAGGGCCCACCAGGACACCCAGGGACCAGGGTAGCCTGGGAGCCAGGAAGGGAGGAGGGTATCTAGAACGCTGAGCTGGAGAAGAGGAGGGGGTTGGGTTACAAACTTTCTTGGGCTGGAGGGGCAGGGTTTGCCTCTAACTGGGAAGGGCTGGCTGTGTCTCCTTGTCCGGAGAGGAAGGAAAGGGGAGGAAGATTAAACAGGTCAAACTTATATCTGGGTAATGTTTGTTTATGCAGACAGCTTCCTCTGGGAGTGAGCACACACGTTATTTATGCAAAAGGATTTGTGTCTGCTTTAGGCGACTCCTAAATTAGTGAAAACAAATTCAGCCCAGGCCTCTAGAAAGAAAAAAGAAAGGGCACCAATTTGTCTGCTGATTCGCACACAATTGAACAAAACCTTGGTAACTTTTTTCCCCCTACAATCCCTTTCGAAACTTCAAAATCAGGTTCATAAATCAACTCACATTTTTCCCTTCTCCCTCCTCCCACCCCTCCCACCCCCCAGTTCAGACACTTCTTCCAAAGTAGGTAAAAGATTTAGCGATAGTTTGTTTTCTTATCTGCAACAGCTGGGCCCTATCAACCACTGCTTGCACCCCTGTGCGGGGGCTCCCGTGTCTCCCAGCTGAGCGGGCGGGTGGGGGAGGGGCGGTCTGGAGCCCGCCAGGCCTCGGGCAGCTGTTTCACGTTAACTGGAGCGTTTTGGTGCTTGGCTGCCAAAGGGGATGGGGAACAGTTTCAAAGTTCTCCCAGATGCCCGGCCCCTGGCTAAGGGCCTCAGCCGTGGGGGGAGGGGAAGCCCGGGGCCGAGAAGGGCTCAGGCGGCAAGACCCTGCGGGCTCCCTGGCCTCTTCCCCATAAAGAATGTGCACTGGGAAGGAAAAGTCTAAAATGCGGTGCTATTTAGGCCAAGCTGCTTTCAAAGGCCTTGTTGCCACTTCATTCCACTTATTTTTCTAAACAAGCACTTTTGATGGGCTGGAATGTCAGACTTGTTGGGATAAGCCACATTCATTTTTAAAAATTGGTTTGTTTGGGAGCCCGACTGCTAGGATCTGATGTTTTGTATTTGAGACTCAGTGGAGCATGGAAAGCTGGGGGGAATCATTCAGAAATTTCCTCTTGCCACAGATCAATGGAGGGTATATAGGTCATTGTCTTTCTGCAGCGGCTGGAATTAACAGCAAACAAAACTCTCTGCTATTGCTCGATCGCTCTTAGGAAAGTTTTCTTGTAAATTAAGGGGACTAGAAGTAAAAATTGCAAGTAAGGACAAGCCAGGATTCCTGTCACGGGCTGGAGAGCGGAACTGAAGTTGACTGGCTCCAAGACTGTGTTACACTCCAGATAAAATTCTTTTGCAGCCAGTTGTGAAAGTGAGCCCAGGATGCGAGGGTGTTTAGAATGTCTTCATAGTGGCATTGCCCTGGGCTGTTTGAACATAAGGTATTTGGGGGGACACCTAGGCGACTGGGTGGCTCAGTCAGTTAAGCATCTGACTTCGGCTCAGGTCATGATCTCGCGGCCTGTGAGTTCGAGCCCCGCGTCGGGCTCTGTGCTGACAGCTCGGAGCCTGGAGCCTGCTTCGGATTCTGTGTCTCCCTGGCTCTCTGCCCCTCCCCCGCTTGCTCTCTCTCTCTCTCTCTCTCTCTCTCTCAAAAATAAATAAACTTAAAAAAAATAAGGTACTTTTTAAAGCAGCTCAATTAGTACATGCCACCTTCTAGATTATTTTAGAGAAGGGATGCATGCATGGACATATTTGCCACTCCTCACTCTGTCTGAATCGACTGCTGAGTATGTTAAAGGGGGAAAAAAAAGCCACAACACAAATGATGGAGGAGGCCAAAGCCCCCGCCACCCAGTGATGGGAATAGATGGGGATTTCAAGCCCTGCAGAGGTTCAGGAGTCCAGATAAAAGGCCCAGGCCTGGGAGGGACCAGAGAAGGAAGGACAGACAGGCACAGCTCCTGGCCACAGGTCTGGCCCAGCAGAGGAAACTGGGTCTTAAAATCTGCCTGCAGGTCTGAGAAAACCTTCCAGGCTGGATGTGTGCAAGGAAGAAACCCTAGAGAGCATTTGAACTGGGAGGGAACCATCCCTAGATACTGCCCCCCACTTTAGCTCATGGTGACAAGAGCAAAGGAGAGATGACTCTGGCCAAGTCCTCTTGAAAGCACAAGTTGGGTCTCTGCACCTTCCTTGGCCTGAGTTAGGGGAGCCCATGGGACCCCTAGAGGTCGAGCCACAGCCAGCCTCCCTTTCCATCGGAAGACCGTAGCTACTCTCCAGTTGTCGTTACCTGATCTAATTGTGTTTATTTTTTTGTTGTCCACATTCTGAGGAATGTGCAGACCCGTAGCCATCCAGGGCAGTTCCAGTTTCGTGCTGCTGGCAAGGCCAAGGAGGAAGGGAGGAAAAAGAGGCAGGGCCAGGGCCCAGAGGCCTGCCCAGGAGGAACCCTGCAGGCAGGAGGTGGGTGAGGGGCTGGGCAGCAGGAAGCCACTGCCCCTCCAGGGCCCACGCCTGCTTCAGTGGGTTCTCCAACCTCTCCTGACAGTTTTTGCTAAACCTGGAAAGCATATGAGTGTGTCTGTGTCTAAGGGTGTGTCTGTGTGTGTGGAGAGAGGTTTGTCAGGGCGTGTGTCTGTGTCCTTGTGTGTCTAGCTGGGAGTGCACCTGTTCGAGGGTATCATTCTGTATGCAGGTGTTCAAAGTTCTGTGTCTGTATGCTATAGGGGAGCACTGGTATGTGAGGCTGTCGA